CTAATATATTTGTACTGATTGTCACAGATGTTCTGTTGTCTAAATTTTTAAGAACAATTTTTTGTTTACAACTATAATTTGTTATGGTTTACTTGTACATGTGTAAAGGGTTGACTTATAAACATGCCTCTGTAATATAGAAAGCAAAGAAGCTAAATCCTGTTGTCACTTAAAATTATGTTTTTAAATGTTTTGTTTAAAAACAACTACAGAATCACAAAGATGAATAATGGTATTTCAGTGTATCAAATACATTTAACTTTAGAAAGAATCCTGGTTTTGTACATTACATCAATCTCATTCCCTTCCTTGAAATTGTTTTTGAATCTAATCAAAAACATTTTAAAGTTAATATGTTATCCTGCTTTAACTTAAAAAAAAAACAGTGCAATGGTGAAAGAGCGAAGGAGGAAGCGTCTAATAACTTCGATAAGCTGTTTCATGTTTTGGAGGAAAAGAAAAACACTGCAATTAGAGCTATTGAAACATCCAAACATTTAAGAATGGACAAATTGCATTCTCAAATAGAAGAGTATCAGGGGCTTCTAGAAAACAATGGCCTAGTGGGATATGCGCAAGAAGTTCTCAAAGAAACAGACCCATCTTGTTTTGTTCAAACAGCAAAGCAGCTTCATGATAGGTATGTAATTTATTTCTTTTCAGAATAGCTTGAATTGTGCGTAATCCTCTGCATGTCTCTTTCCCAATTTCCAATGGCCTTTTAGTTGTACTTTTGCAAATCATTTTTCCAATAGTACCCATTGGTTTGGGATACGTGCAGTGCAAGGATAACAAGCATAAAAATTAGAAATTTGCTTATATAGAATATAATAGATACCTATAAAAGTATGGTTCTGCTTTGGACCCAATTGCAAGGTGAGATCTGTTTCATTCCTATTTTAATTAGTTTGCACAGTAGAATTTTGGATGGATTACATTTTACCATCTTGAAAATGTTATGCAATTTATATAGTTCAGCTGCTAGTGTTAACTAATTTCATTATATTTATTATAATATAGGGATTTTCTTTAGTGAAATAATTATTTTTTTATTTACAGTTAGAAGTAAAAAGCCATGTATTTTAGCATAGTTCATGAATGGATGCATTCAATTTTTTTCTCTCATATTAAAGTATTAAAGGCAATTTCCTAGTGTGTACATAATATTGGTATTTTTTTCTGTCTATAGAATTCAGAAAGCTACTGAATCTTTGAAGAGCTTTAGGCCTGCAGCTCAAGCTTCTTTTGAAGACTTTGTTCTTGACATAGAAAAGCAACAGGAAGCTCTTGAAAATATGTGTTTCCATTCAAATGGTAAGTTTAAAGGAAAAAACATTTAACCTCTTCCCACCCCAGAGAAGGAGCAAGAGAAATAGTAAACAGTTTGCTCTTGATAAAGTATTCCACATTCTTCAAAAGTTGGTTGAACACACACTTGATTCATCCTCATATGGGAATTTCTTAGTATACTAAAAGTCCTTATAGGAAGAGAAATTGGCCATTACGAACAATTTATTACTAACATCTCTAAGTATTTCATATATACTATTTGAGTGGGTGTACAGTAGAATGTGGCAATGGATAAGAGCAGCAAAATTGAAGAAAGCGACAAAGGGATTAATTCTGGCTGCACAATACCAAACCTTAAGAAAAATGCATGCAAAGCTAGAACAGAGAAGCAGCAACAGATTGCAATTGCTGCCACCCCAAAGAAACTGAAGAAATGGACGGCTAACTAGTTAGCTGCTGCAAGAAAATTGTACAGACTGACTACAAACAGTGGCATGGCAAAGTAGCAACAAAGGTGCATTGGAATATATGCAAGAAATACCATTTGTCTGCAAGCAAACAAATGATCACCAAACAGACAAAATAATAAAAAAATGGGGAAGCTAAAGTGTTCTGGGATTTTAGAATTCAAACAGACAAGAACCTGCCATATAGCACCACAGACGTAGCAATTATTGATAAGAAAGATAGAAAAGTCTGGATAGTGTTTGTTTATTTATCATAGAAGAGAAAATTTCAAATGCAAAGATCTGCAAACAGAAGTAGAATGATTGTGGCAAAAGTAAGCAAGGATAGTATCAATAGTAATAGGCATCTTGGTGCATACAGTCCCAAAAGATCTGGAATACCATTTGAACACCATTGGCATTGATAAAATCATCATCAGTCAATTGCAAAAGACAGTTTTAATTGGAATATCTTGCATCCCANCTACTTACCTACCTATCTACTTACACATATTCTCCCTATCTACCTACTGTATTTTTTTCTCTTTCTCTTTCTCACATTCTCTATCCCTTTTTCTACCTACCTACCTACCTACCTAACTACTCTCTCTCTCCCTACCTATCTACTGTATATCTTTCTCTCTCTCTCTATTTCTCTCTCTCCCTCTACCTACCTACCATCTACCTACCTACCTACCTACTGTATTTCTCTCTCTCTCTATATATATATATTTCTCTCTTCTATTCCTTTACCTACCTACCTACCTACCTACCTACCTACCTACCTACCTACCTATTCTCTCTCTCCCTACCTATCTACTGTATTTCTCTCTCTATTTCTCTCTCTATCCCTCCACCTACTTACCAACTTACCTACTCTCTCTCCCCCTGTCTTTCTACTGTATTTCTCTCTTTATCTCTTTCTATTTCTCTCTCTCTAACCCTCTACCTACCTATCTACACACATTCTCTTCCTACCTACCTACCTACTGTATTTCTCTTTCTCTATCCCTTTATCTACCTACCTACCCAACTACTCTCCCTCCCTCCCTCCCTACTGTATTTCTCTCTCTTTCTCTCCCGTTCTATCCCTCTATCTACCTACCTACTTTTTTTTAATTTGCCTCTTCAAAACCTTGCTGCATCTTATACGCCGAAAAATACGGTAGATTATACTAGATAAGACATCAGATTTATTTTTTGGTAATGTGATAAAAGCCATGCTTATAATTTTGAGAACAGATACTCCTACACACTGCTAAATGGGACAAAGATCAGAGAAGTGGAAAAAGGTTGATATCTTGCAAAAACCAACTCATAAAAGTGGTCTTGTGACCTCTAGTTGTAGCTTAGTTTATGCTGCACATCACACAGTAGCAATTCTGACATCATGATTGCAGTTTTCTGCTATTCAGCAACTTGTTCAGAGTGAGGAAACCTTGCTTGATAGTAGGGTTTTAGGTCAGTTCTGTCCTCATTGTATCATGTGACTATATTGTTCTTCAGCATGAATCAGATTATAATATTTTGTGGAATAGCTGTGGATTCAGATGTTAATTGGCTTCAAGTCTCAAGTGAGCATGTCGTGTAGCATATAAAAGAACATTTCCTCTTTCTTTTCTGCTCAACATCTTTGTTTTATACCAAGGCTACTGATTTACTTATAAAAATACTTATCTATTGGTCAATTTTAAATGATGTCCATGTTTCTGGTTGATTTCTTCCTGATTCTCTTTTAAAATACATCTTTTAATTCTTCAAGCAAAAAATATGAATTGGACTGATAATGGTTATATTCTTAAGATTTGTCTATTGAAAGCTGATATTGAAATTGATTGTAAATAATGTATGAAATTGAACAGTTTAGAAAATTAAATTAGGTTTATCTTTCAGTTTATTCATGGATTATTCCAGCTCTTCATTGTTTATATTGTTATCTTTCTCCCCTAGTTTCTAATTTCTAATTTGCTCATAGTTGCATCCATTTGCACTAGCTCTTGAACCAGTATCAAATGTTTCCCATTAGTCTAAATAGTAGCTTGAATCAAATAATTAAATATCAGAGAGATTGTAGAATTAAAAAAAACAAATGTCAACCACCATTAGGGATAGTGACAGTTATGTAATGAAATCTCAGTTTAATAGAACCCCTTTTGGCAAGCTATAATGGACCAAAATAGTCCAGATGAACAGTTAAATTGGCGTTAATATAAATAATCTTTGTTGCTATTTGCAATATCTCTAACAATTTATGCACAAATTATGTAATTTGCATCAATTCACAGCTTTATTATTCAAATGATGAAAACCACCAGGAGTGACATAATTTCTACATTTTGCATAATGATGTAATTATACAAATGACTTAAATTGCCCAAATGAAATAATTTGTGATTTAACAGACCCCACAGGAGCAATGAGCACTCTTTCCCCCAATTGATCTGTAGTTCAACAGTGTCTGGGTTTCCCAACCATATTATAAATGCAATAATTCTTGCAAAGTGCTTTTGTTAATATTAGAAAATGTTAATATTCAACCTTATGAATATTACCGTATCTCTGTAAGTGTAGGTGCCCTCCAGGGGTGGGCACTTACACTTACAGCCACTACTGCCGGTTTGCTCAGGGATGCACTGTGTGCGCGCATGCTCAGTGCAACAAAAATTGCTCTGTGCATGTGCAGATAGCAAAAACTAGATGGTGGAGCCTATGGCACTGCTGAGAAAACCGGTTTGGGGGTATAGCAGTCCTGGGTCACTGCTGGTTCCGGTGACCCAGGCCACCAAGTTACTATCTGTTCAGCTCAGCTGGTCCGAACCAGTAGGAACCCACCTCTGGTGCCCTCCATTAATATAAAAAAAAGTTGCAATTGTAAAAAACTGGATTGGAAAGTTATTAAAGAATAAATGCATATGTAATATCTCAGGGAAGATGGTGATATTTTTGAGTTTCCCGTAGTTCCAATTATAATTAAATAGCTTCAGTAAGATTTAATTTTATAATCTTATCTAAGTGAACTATAAAAATATTAAACTTTAGGCTAATGATACTTTAGCCAAAACTATTGTATTTTCCATTAATTCTGAAATTTTTAAAAAAATATAGTATAGTATAATTGATGTAGTTAAGCTGAAAAAAGAAAGAAAGTTTTGATGCAAAACAAATAGTTAAGGAATTTGTTTTAATTTACTTTAAAAGGTTAAAAAATGCAGGTAACTAGACTTAATGGGTCCAAAAGAAAACAACTAATGATTTATTCTTAAAACATAATTTATTCCAAAGACAATAGAAGCAAATGAGATTGAAATTTTCCAAAATAACAAAACATACCCTATTTCTTACAATAAGGTCATAGTATGTTGTGATTGTATAGTTACATTAATACTATTTTAAAAAGTGTCTATCCAGTGTTTCAGAGACAGTGCCTCATGCAACTTTTTCCTCTGCAGTTCCTAAAATCTCCAGAAGAGATTAAGAGAATCTATTGGCTGGAGACACAGATTCCAGCATAAGATTGTTTGATAGTGAACAAGAGAAAAATTTGCGGGTGGGGTGGGGTGGTGGAGGCGGGGCCAGCCGCCAGTCTGAATGGGTGTGTGAGATGGTTCTCCGTGAACACCACTGTTTGATTATCTGGAGGGGGACCGGAAGAATTGGGATGCCCTGTGAGCCAACTCTCAGATGGTGGTCTGAAACAGGAAGGCAGGAAAAAGCCCTGAAGTGACTGGACAAAGGCAAAGATGGTTTGTTATGGTGGCTGTGAAAGGCTAGAAGATGGACAATACTAGCGAGGAGTCAGAGGGACAGAGCGATACTTTCTGGTGACAATCCATTCATTTGTATATAAGTACTATCTGATAATAAAGGAAGAAAATAATTTTAATATCTTCATAAATATTAAAATGTATATGAAAAACAAAAATGAAAATGCTTCTGATTTTACTTCATCATTACACAGTTCTTGAAGTATATTTCATACTCTATTATTTTATTCTCAGATTTTGATGTGTCCGGAACATGAAATGGAAAAAGTAAATATGTACTGTGAAATATGCAGAAGACCTGTTTGTCACCTTTGCAAATTGGGTGGTACACATGCAAACCATCGAGTGACTACCATGAGCAGTGCCTACAAAACACTTAAGGTGTGTCCCATCTTTATTTCTTAGCTGGTTTTGTGTTGCTTAGTGTTACAAGGTGTAAAGTAGTTGCTTTGTTGAGATGATCCTGTGTTCAGTATCATGAAATGTTACTGAAACCTGGGCTAATTAAAGAGCATGCATTTTTTTTTATTCTGACTTATGCCAGAATTTTGTGATCAGCAAACTCAATAATTTTCACCTTCCAAAGTGGGTTATATCTGTAGAATATTATAAATTTCCTCAGAAATAAAACTGACTTCAACTTTACTTAAATATTTTTTGTCCTAATCATGTTTTAACATTTAGGCACATTTGAGTATTTCTATCTATAATACAAGATCATGGCCATAGTTTGCAAAAAAAATTAATATCCTTGAAGGAGAACATTTAAATTTAATCCACATCATTGAATACCTTATATTGACTTGTGCCATCTGTTCAAATAGATAAATATTTGATGGGGCAAGTAACATTTTAGATTAGTTCTTGGAACAGAGACAAAGGATGTAATTTGATAATATGTAATATTGGCTTAAGTTGTTTTGGTTCACTGCAGGTTTTAATGGACTTATTGTATACATATTATTTTAATAGCCTTTTTAATTAGTAAGCAGAAAAAGAAGCAATTAGAATTAGTGAAACTACAAACGTTTCCTTATTAGTGAAAACATGTTTATCTTTTTTAATGCAGCTTTCACATATTTGACATTGGTGCCTACATAGCTTATGCCAAGGCTCATCACACTTGTTTATTCTCATATGATTGAATTGTGTGCACTTTTAGTTAACTCTAAAACAATTGCTTGGCTGTAGTTTTGATAGATATAGAACATAATAGTTTATTGAACCAAACTGTCAATCACAAAATAAAAAATGTTCCTTCTATTCACTAATTTCAAATGCAAAAATAGTACTTTACAATCATTTTTAACCATGCAGTATGATTTTTCATAGGAGAAACTTTCGCAGGATATACACTACCTCATTAGTAAGGAGAGCCACGTGAAAAACCAAATTACAGAGCTTGGTCTTTTAGTGAAAGAAGCTGAGGTAAGAACTACTTATTTTTGCCATGGGAATAAAGGGCTACTTTGTGGCTCTTTAATAATATTAGTATTGATGTGAATTTCTACATAAACAATTTTATCGAAACTAAAACATTTCTATCCATTATAATTTGACTAATTTATTTTAATGCACATTGCATTAAAAAAAACCCAAAGAGCTACATACAATGGGGCAAAAAAGTATTTAGTCAGCCACCAATTTGTGCAAGTTCTCCCACTTAAAAAGATGAGAGAGGCCTGTAATTGACATCATAGGTAGATCTCAACTATGATAGACAAAATGAGAAAACAAATCCAGACAATCATTGTCTGATTTGGAAAGAATTTTTTTTTGCAAATTATGGTAGAAAATAAGTATTTGGTCAATATCAAAAGTTCATCTTTTTAAGTGGGAGAACTTGCACAAATTGGTGGCTGACTAAATACTTTTTTGCCCCATTGTATGTAG